CCCCCCTTTTTTGGGGGGGGGGAGATTAGGAAGTTTGCTGTCTGCAATAAACTTCATTTCCCCAATTGATTGTTGTCTGGCTCTGTTTTCTGACCGTCACTGAGCCGTTACCTAGCAACATTAGATTAGGTGTTTTGGAAAGTATAATCAGATTTTTTTAAATATACGGCGATTTAAACTGTGTAATTAATGGGTGGAGCCGCGTCCATGGCTGCCGGGGGAATAGGATTGTATTAGCACGCAGAATATGACGCCGCGTCGGACAGTGTGAATGATAAATAGACTGGTCGCAGTGTGCGTACAGTGAAGACGCTCCAGCTATGGTGTGCTCCAATCTGGATCCTCTGGGGGAAAGGTAAAATAATGAATCAAAGTGTTCCCTTTCCTGAAAACACACCAGTTTTCCTTTCACACATGAAATGTATTTTTAAATGCAGATAGTAGAAGTACCTAAAATGAAACTTGGTATTGGCCTCCTGTAAAGCCCAGTACAGCAGAGTTCAGACTAGGAAAGAGAGGGGCAGCACCAGGGGCCAAGCAGGGGTGCCGAATGCACATAAGCTCGGTGAATGGAGCCAAGTGAATGCACAATATTCAGTGAATGTAATGCTACAGAAAGCGCAACAACCTCTTTGTTAGTATATATGTGTATGCAGGGACAGGGGAGGGACCTTAACACCTTTTTTTTTTTTTTTTTAATTTACTTTATTTGAATTATAGCAAGGAAGTAAAAAAAAAAAAACAGTTTGAAAAAAATTAAGTGGACACACACACACACACACTTCTGTGATGACAGGGCCTCTTTAAAGAGACAATTGGAGACCCCTAATGGCACCTTCGAAGCCCACTGGAGCTGATCAAGCACAGATTGATGAGTTTCCTCCCCGACTTATCTAGAAACCGGAGGTGATGTAATAATTGTCACTTTCGGTTTGATGTAGCGGGCAGGAGATCAGCAAACGGATATCTGTTGCGCTCTCTCCCGGACTCCCGTAATACCGGTTCTGGGCCCGCAGGAGGGGCAGCGGAGCCTGGGAAGCAAGGCAGGAGCTCATGTTTACTGACCCCTGGAAGTGATCAGGTGTCTTTTACAGCCAGCCAAATTCGGCATTACACAGGTTAACAGTCTGTTTACAGGGGCCAGCTGCTGCTGAAATATGACATTGCTCAGTGGCAGCGAAAGGGTTACCTGCGAAAAGCCAGAGTAACATATATTTTATGTCTTCACTGACCTGAGTAAGCACCTTCGTAAGGAGAATACCGACCACTGTCTGCAGGGCTCCCGAGGGCTGCACAACAAGTGCCGAATCTCTGCAGGTTGGGTATCGGGGGTTAACAGCTGCTGCCCCTTTACTGTCCAATCAGTGGCCGGGAGTGGGTAAGTGACCATGTTTTACTGCTTTAAGGTGGCCATACACTCTACAACCATCGCAAGACCTTAGTCTTGCGATGGTTGTACAGGGATTAAAAAAACGTACGATCTGCCTATCTTGGACAGGCAGATCGCACTCTTGATCATCGCAAGCCCGCCCCCCTGAGGGGCGGGCTTCCGATGACCGCAATGCTGAACGGGCAGTGTGCGCGTGCGCACTCCGGCCCGTTCGGCATTTGTCTTCCGAGCACCGTTCTAACCAGCCGAGGATCGTACGATTCCCGGCTGGTTTTCGAACATGCTGGTTCGACAGAAGACGTGCGACCGTACAGTAGAAACGGTCGCACGTCTCCGTTCACACTGCTCGATTCTCGTACGATCGCGGGATTTCCCGCGATTCTCGTACGAGAATCGAGCAGTGTATGGGCACCTTAACTTCGGTCACCAATCTGCCCCTATATCCTGGCAGAGCTTTATAAATCTCAGTACTGGATGGACAGTTACACATTTTTTGGTAGGTACAATAGCTCCCTTATACATACTTCATGTGCGTATTTAGCTGTTTCTCAGGTGCCCCATCCCCCCTATCCCCAGCATTATGAGTTCTCTTCGCTGTGACATGGGAAACAATGACGCAGTGTTTGGTATGTTCAGGATGTCTGTGTCATGAAAGACAGAATACGATTCAGAACACTCTGTGATTTCATCTTTCCGGGACAGCTCAGTCTGTACTGTCCTGCAGGGTCCCATTCTACGGGATGGGGGGGGGGGTCACAAATCTTGGCAGCTCCCCTACC